GGCGGAATTTATATTGGAATATCTTCATAAAACTACCATTCACCAATATTAATTCCTCACCAATATTGATTCCCTGCCAATAAATCATCTTGTACAGTAGTCAATGACCTCCTAGTCCTACAGTCACTCTACATGACATGTATTGTTTAGTTAATTTTGCCAAAATTGAAAAGGAGAGAACTCTCCATTTTATTACATTTCCTGATACATATACATAAATTGGTATAGCACACTTAATTAAAATGTCTTCATTACCTTAAAAGGAAGAGAACAGTTCGTCCCACCAGCTCCACCTCCAGTTGCTTCTGAGACCAGATCACACTCACTTTAAGTAAATCAATAACTTCATTGAATGGCAGCAACAGGAGGGACCCCTCAAGGTCGCTATGACGATAATTATTAATTAAATGAGTGGGTGGAGTATACTAATACCTTGAACGTATTTGCTTTAAAATATTAAGAACATATTCATCAGGCTGTAGGGAGGAGAGGGTTAATAATTATTATTAATTATTAACTTACCATTTGGTTCCCAAGAACTTTTAAAATTGGGTTTGGAGGAGGAGGAGCCAACTAATAATAATAAATAAATAATTATTTATTAATTAAATTAGTAAATGATTATTCATTTATTATCATCATTCATACATATACATGTATACTGATTACTTTGGTTCCAGTTATATTACATTCTTCATTATATTCTTTCATTTTCAGTTCTTCTTCTCTCCATAATTCCAGCCCTTCCATCAGTCGCTCCGCCTATTAATAATTAATTAATTAAGTGGGTGTGGTCACTCACTGATCCAATAGTCCCTGCTGTCTTCCTACCCGCCAGTTCCACTTCTCCTTTTCCCTTCTCCCCCGGCACCTAATGGAGGAACCAGTAACAATACACACAGTATACAGTATATACATGTAGAGTAGTATAGGAGGTCATTATATTGTGGAGTATTATTATGTTTGGTATTTGCAAGTGCACAAATAAACTCAAAATTTAAACTTGCAAATAATAAAATTTTATGAATGACAAACTGCAAAAATTTAATCTACAAATAAAGAAATTTTGTAAGGATTCTCAAAACTATTCCTCTCAAAATAATCACTATACTCCATTATACTCTTACCACTGGTTCTGATCCTCCTTCTGTTAGTGACTTCTCAAACTCCATTTCTCTTTCCTGAAAAATAGAATAAAATGATCCGTTTTATGGTAGAAGTGGATTTAATTGATTATGTGGGTGTGGTTTACATTTTCCTTTTCTTCTGACAGTACCAGTGGCTCTTGAGTGCAGCACCACGTCCTAATGGAGAGATCATGAGACCCAGTCACCTAACGGAGTGAAGAGATTATTAATACGTTAATACATTTCCTGATGCATATACATGTTCTTATGTTGTGTAGAAAGTTTGAGCTGATTCCAATCAAGTTTGAATTTTTTTATAAACTTTTAAAATTGCTCAAAATCGGACTAAAATCCATGTACTATAGTAAAGGGACTTTGGTCAAATTTTGCCAAAATTAAAAAAAGAATTCTCCATTTTTATTACATTTCCTGATACATATTAATGTCCTTATGCTGTGTAGAAAGTTTGAGCTGATTCTGACAAAAAATTTCAAGTTATGGCCATTTTAAGAAATCGGTCAATTTTTGAAAAATACCCAAGGCTATAGCCCATGGTTTTTTAAAAAAATGGCTCTGAAATCACCCCAAATTTTTATTACATTTCCTGATACATACGTACATGTACAGTCACTTACTGCAGTGTTTCCATCATTTGATACAACTAGTGACCATATCTCAGACTGATGGCCCTACAAGAATAAATAAAATAAATTAATAAACAATTAATTAATTAATTAGTTATTAACTTTAAGCGTTTGTATCAGTTCAAAGTTATCACAGTCCCATTGTTTCAGTGTCCTGTCCTTACTGATGGAGAAACACAAGTGAGTACCAGGAACAAACTAATAATAATAACAATAATAATAATAATAATGATAATAATAATAAACTACACCCACATAACAAGTTATTTTTAAAAGTTCATTCACACTTAAAGTAATATCAATTTAGGTTTCTCATTAAATCCAGACAGTTTTAAAAGTTAATGACTACCTTCACGTCCATGATACTGTCAGTGTGCCCAAATATTGACTTATGGCAGTCACCAAAATCAGTTCCCCAAATACGAATATTCTTATCAGCAGAACCAGTCACTAATAGACTACTGTCCTGTAGAGAGAATACAAGTATTGTATATACAGATATCTCAGTCCTCAGATATTACATTACTTATACACACACACCTCCAGACAGGCTGGACTACATGTACATGTACGGACTAGCCTCTATATAATGGACACTTTGAAAGTGTTTCTGTTAAACAGAGGTGTCCTTTATGTGGAGGTTATTTTATACAGTAAGGAATGTAATTGGTACACTAGGTGCTGTCCGTTAAATGGAGGTGTACGCTATAGAGAGTGTCCATTAAGAGAGACTATACTGTATAATTAATTAATTAACTTACACTTGATATGTCCATTCCAAGTACAGGTAGTTTATGACCATATAAGGAGAGATAAAACTATAAATAGTAACATTACATCTTCATAAACTATTCTATAAATAGAGAACGCTCACTTTTAGTGTATCAGCAAAAAACAGCTTCACAGTTGAATCCAGTAACGACAAAGCAAGGAACTTATCATTAGGACTGTGGGCATAAACTTAATAACTAGCCACACCCACTAACCCTCACCTGTATTTGAGGCAGAGGACGTCTTCTGACATTTTTAATGTTTTAACATGAACAGCACTGAGCCTCTTCCTACTAATTAATAAAATAATTATTAGTATGATTATATGTTACAGTATAACATGATAAAGTAAGATTTTAAAAGAACTAAACAATTACTGTACAAAATGATTTATTGGTGAGAGTATTATTTGGCAGATTTCCCTGTGGAAATTAAGTTAATCAGGGGATTTTATATTGGCAAATTCTTCATAGAACCACCAATCGCCAATATCAAGAGTGGATAATATTTAGGGAGAGTGTCTAACCCGCCTATAATCTGTGATACCACAGTGCGTAAGTTTACATAGCATGGTTATTAGCACCAAGTAGCCATTCTTGCGTCCTTATACTGATTCCAAGTCAGAATGCTGCAAATAAGAAAGAGCCAACCATAGAAGAAC